TGGGTGACCCAAGGGGTGAGCCACCCCTTCTACCCTGCCCCTTACACAACCTGTCAGACAGAGATGAGGGAGAACACCCGCACATAACTGACTGCTTTGTGGCAGGAAGGAGCAGAAGCCACAGCTCTGCCTTATCAATATGTGATGCAGAAAATGCAGTGAGGGAGTAGAAGAAATCCAATATGAGAGTATCACTGCAAATGTGAGAGACTAGTCAGGTCTGTGCTCCTGTCTCTAAAAGAGATGGTGTGAGACTGCATGTTACTGACAGATTTATTTTAGAAATGTTTTATATCCTGCTTTTAAAAGTGAAAAAACCAAAAGCAGTACACTAAGCAATTGCAGTTTGGTTCTTGCACTTTGGCTCTTGTAAGTAAAATAAATATGCAGTACTGCAATACTGCCTCCTTGCATTTCAAGAAAGAAATTGCTTTATTGAATCAAGACAGTGGTCTATCTAGTCCAGTATGTCATCTTCAAATACTGGACCTTAATATAGCAACAGAGCAGGCAAGAAATATTCCACAGAGAGAGAGGCCAGCATATAACCAAGAGTAAAAATTTATCTGTTTTTTAGTGTTTGATATTTACTGACTCATTTATTAATATTTTGCTATTTATACAACCAGCTAGTGATTGTTTATTATTTACTTGTGAAGTTTGCCAATGCAAAGCACCTTCTGCCACATTAGCTTCGATTTGTGATAGAGACATAGAAGATTACCAAACACCCAGGAGTCAAAAAAGCTATGTGTGCTTTCACCTGAGTGCTACCCCATACCGTGGCTTTCCCCTTGGCATTGTTTAAGGGATGCTCACAGCTGAGGCGGCTGTATACAACGCTGTCCTGGTGCCAAGAGACCTGTGTTAGAGTTTCCTATTACAAGATCAGCAAGATGCGAAGTGAGGCAACTAGAAAATGCAAGCTATGAACATAGCACAGATTAGGAGGTTTGGTAAACTTCAAAGATGAGGGGGGAAAGCATTTTCTAACTTTTTACACATGCAATTATATAAATGATTCTTCCACACCACAAAACATATAGGAGCTTCTCCTATAAGTGTTTAGTTAGGATCAAATCCATACAAGGCATTTTCCAGTGCTACTTCAAGCAACAGCTTGAAGTGCATTCTACAGATCACTGTACTGATTCATTCAGACAGAAGAAAAAGCTAAGAAAGCTTTTTTCAGTGACTTCATGCCACGTTATCTAACTATGTAGTGGCATGCCATACGTGGTAGTTACATTAACTACTTTAACTAGTAAAGCATAAGGTCTTTGCTTTCTCTTTTCTATCTCCAAAGTGTTTTTCAGAACACACGACATGAAAGAAGCTATATGAAGATGCCTTGAATTGTTTTTCTTAAAAATGTGACTGTTCTGCACTAGTAGTATGAAAAGGTACCTTAGTGGCCATTATTATTTTGTTATCTCTTTTGATAAATAACTCACTACATATGGCAAACAAGAGTGGCTGGCTTGGGTATATAAAGAAGCAAAGCATAAACACCACTATCTTCCCAAGTTCTACAAGAGCAAAAAGAGATAGCTCTGTTGCTGTCACCAGGAAAAATGAACAACATTACTGTTGATGTTTCCACATTCATTCCTATGTCTGGTTAATGTTATATATCTGAACTTAGTCATGGGGAGAAGTGTTTCAACATAAATATTAACAATTTATAAAACCAAATCAATGAGCCAAATTTCCTGTTGATATAGCCCTAAGAGTGAACTTCTGTTTTTAAAAAATATTTCAAATGTGAAAGTGTGTGCTTACAATGGACTATGTGAAGCTGAGTATTTGCTATGTAATTGTTTTATCATGAAAAAAAACAAACAAACAAAAAAAAAAAACCTAAAACAACAAAGCACAAGCAAAATCCTTCTAAGTACACTCTTAAATTCAGTTATCTAAGGATAATGGAGCAAATACTCCAGCTGGTTTAAAACGTCAGAGCTGCAACTACTGCTAGGGAGCAATGAAAGTCTACATCAGTTGGGGATAACCCTCAACACAAAAATGGTCATGAACAGGGACAGGTCAGCATTCAGTTTTGCTGACATAGGACCCTTCTGTTACATTCATCCTTACATAAATTTTGCCTCAATGCCTTCAAAATTCAGCATTTCAAAAGGTAAATGAAAAATATATTTTCCAATAAAAAGCTATTGCTACCTAAATTACTTGGACATGCAACAGAAAAATGATGAAAGACATTTAAATGAGATATTTAAATACAGACTGGAAATCTGAAACTGAACATTAATTAATTAGATTGTAGGATCTTCTGTTGCTTTAGCCTCTGTATTACCATGCAGTCTTTGTTTACTGCCATTTATCTTCTTTGTTTGATGACATTTGACTAATAAATACATTGATGAATTGCATCTGTAAATGCCATCCATACATCACAAAAATAGGATGCACTCAGTGCTTCTGGCACACTGAAGCTAAACGATTTTGTTTTATTTGAACTTTCAGTACTTTACAAAGGAAATATCACTGCTCTGCTGGATAAATTTACTGATTTTTATTTTAATTTTCAGTGAGCAAACAGCTGCAGAATAATGTGACTTAATGAAGCATTTCTAATAAAATCCTGCAGAAGATAAAACAGAGGCATAGAACCACTTGCTCACTGATAGTTGTATCATTCAGAATAATTTTTCAAGATGGTGATCACATTTCTGTGTAGATGAGTATTAGGTATTGTGATTTTCCGTCTTCCAAGTCAGTGATTTCCTTTAGTGAGATAACTAGTTAGCACTGTTGCATTACTTATTTATAGTAAGCAAAACATACAACATAATAAATGTAACATCTTTCTAGTACATTATTTAGGCTTTACACTGGTTGGTAAGTAGCAACACAGACAGCAATAGATTTTGGTGTGAAGATGCTCAGATCTGAAAAACTTCATGGTTATATTTTGCTTACCAAAAACATACTGCCTATATTTACAAAGATGTCCTTTATCGTCTGTCATCACTTGTGATGAAATCATGAAACTTCTTGGCTGCTACATTCTCCTCTGCCATCACAATTCAGTATAAAGCATTATTTGCTTTATGTAAATCTAGATAGGGCTCAATGAATCATCACTTTGCAACCTGCCAGTAAAACAATCTCCAATATCCATCTGTACACACATCTATTTACTTTCATTCAGAACAAGTTTTTCATGTATTCCCCACCAGAATAATCAAGTACACTACAGGCATCTACACATAAAGCTGAGATCCCTCAGATTATGAGACAGGTAAAAAAGTTATCCCATGTGTCCAGTATGATTAAAGGTCATCATTCTCTGATTATAAGAGCAAGACAGAATCAAGATTTTATCTCAGCCACCCACTACCATCAGTGTATCTAAAGGTAATTCCACATTTTTGAGGGACCTTCTATGTACAAAAAAATTTGCAGAGCCAGTGAATAATAAATCTGATCTGCTGTATCAACTGAGCAAAGCTTTCCACTGAAATTATGGTACTGATGTAGTTTACATTTATAGTAACTGGAAACTGGGACTATATGAAACAAAACCCACATGGTTTTCAATACTGCCTCAGCAGCATCAGCTCTCTGAAATAAAATATTAACAGTGAAATGTATAAGAATTACTTTACTACTGTTAATTATACACTCACAAAACAACTTGGGCATCAGTATGAGATGACAGCCCAATTAATGTGAAAAAGTATAATGAAACTTGCAACCTTTGCCACCTTAGATAAAAATATCTTAGTATGCTTTTCCAACTTCAACTAAGCTATCCTCCTAGCATCACTGAACTACTATGTTTCACGTGTGCACCCAACACTACAGGAAAGAATCTTAATTTCTCAATTTGACTTAAATTAGTCCATAAAGTAGCTTTAAAGTGTTAAACATACAGTAGGCTGAATGCTAAAGTCTGAAAGTAGTTGGTAAGACAGAGAAACCAGATAATAATTATCATTTAGTCAATAGTAATTTAAATGTATCCACTGTGGTACAAAGACCCTGTGACCTGGAATCCTTTATGGGGTTTTCAGAGAAAGGAGCTGAGTATGTTTATTATTTAAATTGACAGATCTGCAGGAGTCAAAGCCATTCTTTAAATACTGAGCCAGTGTCTACTGGGGGAAGGGTGGTAGGACTGAGGTACTTAGGAAAAAAAAACAAAAAACTGATAAGCTCCAAGCAAAAGCTGGAAAGAGAGAACTGTAGCTACACATATAATTTAAAATGCTTTAAGCAATCATTTTAACTCCCGTAGGAATGAAACATACAGAAGAGCCATGCGTGCCCTAACAGGGCAGTGCAAGGTCTTGCTCTTTACTCTTTGCATTGATAACCTGGTGTCCGATCCTACAGCTCCACAGGAATAAAGCAGGTTATTTTAAAACTTTCTCTGCAAAAGCAACGTGGATAGACACGGAGCACTACACACGGAAATAAACGGAACCATGAACCTTCCCTTTACCGCATTTTTTTGCTTGTTTGTTTTGTTTTCAGAGGAGGCATAAAGCGACTACCCGCTCTTCCAGCCGTTCTCTCGAAGGCGGCTGATAAAGCGTCCGGGCACAGTAGCCCGCAAGTGCCCGAATGTCCTGCGAGTTAGCGGCCACCCGTGCCACAAAAGTTGAAAACCGGGTGGGTTCCCCTGCTCCCCCCGCCTCCCTCTCGATTCTGTTGAACTAATGTTTTAAGTGGAATCAAAGAAAAATAAAAGGGAAAACAAAAGCCTTGAGAATCGCCCAGCGAAAGGCTGCAGCCTGCTGCTCCAGGTGCCCAGCAGAAGGACGGAAAAGCAGCTCTCCTTCACATCCGCCTTCGTCCAACTTCAGGGCAGCGGGAGGGCGCAGCCGCTCCGCACACCTCACACCTGGCCCCGCTTGCGCCCGCCGTCCGCGGGGTCTCCGCCAAGTGCCAAGGGAATCACCCGGCGGCCCCACAGCTCCCGGACAGACACACAGACAGACACACGACCCTGGAGCGCTCCTCTCACCTACCTGCAGTCCCGATTCTTGCTAGAAATGCCTAGCGATCGGCCGCCTCCCGTCCGGGGGGAGCTCCAGCCTTACCGCCCGGGCATCGGCGGCACACGCCCCGCGCCCCGCCAGCGCTCGGGGGCATGGAGCGGCGCCGTGCCGCGCTCCGCTCGGCTCCCCTCGGCTCGGCCGGGCTGGGGCAGCAGCCGTCCGCGGGGCTCGGCTCTCTCACCCCGCCTCTGGGAATAAACCAGGAATCCAGCTAAGAGATGCTAGAGGAAGGGTGAAGTAACTGGGAATGGAGAGAAGACTTGAAGTGTTTCTTGTGCACGATTTCAGAGTATTAACAAAAAAAAAGGAAAAAATAGAGAAGACGAAGTATGGTCGAGCTATTGCAATAGCGGAGATGGATAAGTCCTGCAGCCCAGTACGGCTCTGGCCCCTAAACCAGCTGCGCGTGGTCCCGGTTCAGCCCCGCCGGCAGAGGAAGGAGGAGAAGCCGGCACGTCCTGCAGCAGTCCCTCCGTTAGAGCATCTCTGATTGGTGTGCCTTCCACACACAGCACGACTTCCCCCCTCCTGCTGCCTCCTTCTCTCTCTTGGGAAAAGTAATTGGAGAGCGAGAGCTTCACCTTCAGCAGCAGCAGCAGCAGCAGCAGCCTCCCGCGCCCAGCCTGCGCGCACCGCACCGCGGAAGGGCGCGGAGACGCCCCGGGCGCCCGGACAGACAGAGGCAGTTCCAAGCGCGCCCTCCGCGGCGGGGGGGAGGGAGGAGGTGGAGGGAGGTGGGGAGAGGAGAGACGCCCTTCTCCTCCCCCGTATTTATCCGGCCACTCGCGGCTCTCCTCCCCAGCCCTTACGAGAGAGCCGGTCCCAGCGGCCGTCGTTCTGTCTGACCGAGCAGCGGGGCTCAGCCGGCAGCGCCCGCCGCCCCCGCACTCTGGGGCTTGGGCCGCCTCCCTCCGCCGCCCGCTCCGCAGCGCAGCTCTCCCTTCTCTCCTCTCCGCTCCGAGCGGCGGGGCGGGGGTGCGAAGTTTACGCCCAGGCGCATGTGGCCGGGGGATCCCCGCGGACCCCCGGCGGCCCCGACGCGCTCCCCGGAACCCCTCTGCCCCTGCGGTGGGAGGCGGGAGCACCGGGCGGGGAGGGAGCGGCCGGGCCGGGCCGGGCAGGGCAGCTGCCCCGGGGAAGGGGGGCCGCGGCTGCCGGAGCAGGGGCAGCAGGGACGCGGCGCCGCCGGCGGCAGCCAAAAACTGTACTGTGTCTCCCTCCAGAGGGAGAAGGGAGACACGCACGGCAGCTCCGGCGGCGGAGAGCCGAGGACTCGCCGGGCCCCTCTCCCCTGGGCGGTGGGCTGGCGAGCTTGGTCCGTGTACCTACGCTCGAGAGGTAGTGAGTAAAGATAGTACGGGTCAGGTCCTAAAGACCTCTTGTGTCTCTTAAGACAGCTTTAAAGACGGGTGGCGGGTCGTGGTCGTCTGCCACGACTATTGATTAATAAGGGGAAATGTTGCTGAGTGAGGATAATTAAAAGCAGAGTATTGTGGTTTATTTTGCTGTGTTCTGTGCCGTTCAAAATGTGGTGCAGAGAAGTGGAGGGGAGAGAGCTAAAAAAGGTGAGAAAGAAACCTTGTTTGTTACAGTGATATCAGAGTCAAGTTCTCAGTTTTGTCCTGTACTTCTGGTCCACTCCTAGATTAAATGGGGATGAATGCATGCAGCATTGAGAAGTACTGATAGTCCTGATCATCTATTGGGGTTTTTTTTCAATTCTACAAGCTAGTATAATGGCCAGTTTTCAGAAAAGAATCTTTTGCTCAGTCCTTAACTGTTACCACATCTTACCTATGTTCATAATCAACTGTCAGAAACAGAAGAGGGAAGGAAAACAGTTCTCTTTTTGTTATTGTCCATGCTAGAGTTCTTCCATGCAAGCAAGCATCTGTAAAATGCTTGATTTTTTTTCCAAAGCAGACCTAAATATCTATACAGGTTAAAAAAATTTTTAAAAAATTAAAAAAAAAAAAAAAAAAAGCTGGGGGCTAAAATGAAGGCTTAATGTAGACTACTCTGCATTCAGTGATGCAGCTGTAGGATGAAATACAAAGAGGCTGGTATTGAAAGGGCAAGTTAAAAGTAGCGTGGTATGTGACTGTCACAAGCGCTGTTGCAGAAAGCACTGCAGTACACACACATGCCGGATGCTGACCGCAGCTGAATTGCTGCTGGTTGTAAAGACAAATATGTCTTGTCTCATTCATTGGAAGCTGATACAATAACTTTGGAATTTCCCTATTTGGTAACCATGTTTCTAGATTTGCAGACAGCTAAAAAATAATTTAAAGGAAACTGGAAAAAAACCAAGATGGTGCTGCTATTGGCACCACAATTTCAGGAAAACAGATAGATCCAGACTCAAGTTGATCCTGCCCCACTTATTCCAAATGACATGGGATCCTGAATACATAGTGGAAAAGGTAATCTTCCCAGCTCCCTGCCTCAGTGTGGGACCATAGGTATTGCTACTCCATTAAAAACAGTGAAAGCACACCAAAAATACAACTAGAGCAACTAAAATGCAACTACAGCAGCTGTTGCAATGTAGATGTGGCAAACACCCTGTTGCTATAGGAGCACCTATGTCTATTTTTCCTGCATGCACCATTACACTCAAGTTGACTGCATGTTGTAAGACCAGAGGATATTTGGTAGGTTTCATGTTGGTATCCTGCTGTTGCAGAAATCTGGCAAACACATCTGAAGACACAGAACTCTTATCACCATGGTGAAACAAACAAGTCCTATGCAAACAACCAAAGAAAAAGTAGCAGACAAAGCAGTAAATAAGCTGACCTGTTTTGAAACCCTAGAATTTTGTCAGTGAAAATATTGAAAAATGTAGTCTTTGTTTATGTCATGATGCTGCTGCGCATGAGCAGTTCCAAATCTCTTTGTACAACATCTGAAAATCTGAACAAATCTGCAGTACTCACACACAGCTTGTGTGACACAATGCATATGAAAGCATGTCCTGAAAGACACACTTTCAGAAAGCTTCTCTGCTTGCTTTCACACTATGGTCAACACTCCTGGGAAGAACTGAAACGATCTGTTGCACCTATAGAGCAAAACCAGAGCAGCTGGTTTTACAGATGCTTACTTGGTAAGTCTGACTCATCTCCAAAGGTGCCTTTGTACATGCTGCACATGTACAATATGATAAATTTACCATATTCTGGAAACACCAGATTGGCAGTCTTTGTCTTACACAGTCTGTATTTATATCTTTCTGACTGAAAAATCCCCAGCTGAATACTGTGGCCTCAGAGCACAATGTAGTTATGAACCACAATTATTACATGAATGTTCTCTCTTTATTCCTTCAGCTAGTTTCATTTTTGAGTTAGTGTCACTGTTTCTTACTTTTCATCAATTTGTAGGTCTCTTCCACATGCTAAAAACCAAGCATAAAACATGAAAATGGGCATTGGTATTTGCAACAGGTGTAGTATTTGGAGCAACTTCAGCAGTTCCCTTTCAAGGTGAATAGCACAGCATAAAAATCAGGAAAGTATAAATTTTTTTCTGACTAGTTATGTATGGATCTGGTGTGTGTATCTTCTAAACACTAATTTTACTCAGAAGCATGCATGTTCTGAGCTATTAAATAGAAAAAAAAAGGAAATTTATATTTTGATAGCCACATGTAGATTAGTCTCTAACAACTGACGCCAATGTCAGTACTGTTGGTACTGTTAATTATATAGTTTTGCTCCTTTATTTTTCTGAAGAGATACCTCCCCTCCCACTACTCACCATGCTAATAATATAAACTAGCTATAAAAGTGCCACTTTTGGCACAGCTTTTCATTTTAGCAGTTAGATTCTTGGGTTCTCATTTTGTACCTAAAGATTAGGATTTTGGTTGGGTTTTCCACCTATATTAATATCGAGCTTCACATACGAAAATAAGCAGCAGCTCAGACCACAGCACTCACCAGGAACACCTCAGTGTAAGGAGATGCATAATGATGTAGAGCCTGATGTACAGTACAGCAGCATCCTACAGCATTCCTTTATTGCCATCCCATAAAGCTGGGGAAGAGGAAGCAAGGATCTCAAATGTCAGCTGCTGTAAACTATTTGCAGTTGTCATCCTGATACTGTGTGAGCTGAGGCAGTCCAAAAGTGCCTACAAGTCCCCTTTACAATGTGTGTACAGATACACAAACACACAATCATGTTTTTACCACAGGTGAGAATCTGGTCCACCAAATTTAAGTTCTTTATAAGCTCTGCAACATTCCAGATGTTCACGTACAAAAATAAAAGTAATTGACTCCTGAAAAGCTGATGGAAATGAAAAAGTGATGGAGCAAAGTTATTCTGGGATTCCTTTATAAGTCTCCCACAGGCATTTACTAAAATCATGCTGGGTATTGCATTTTGAAGAAAAAAAGGTTTTTAACTAGCATGCTGGAATGATCATTGATCTTTCAAAGTTTCCACACAAAATGGAAAAACTGACTGCAAAACAATAACAGAAAGTAACCAGTCTTTTTTTTTTCCCTACATTTAAGTTATACAGATAAACACTATGATTTGGGGCTTTTTTACCATTTAAAATCATTCCTCCAAGATATAAATCACATGTATGCTTGTGCATGCTAACATAAATGCTGCTTACAGGGTAATGACATCTTCCAGGATGGGGAAAAACAAAAACAATAATAACAAAGACAAAGAAAAAGAAAAGAAAAATAACCCACTAATACATGTATATTCAAGGTAACTTTGGGAGCGAGACTTTGTTGCTTTCATTCAAGAGGAGAAGGCTGGAAATCAGGGAGAAAATGGGTTGAAAGGGATTTCTGGAAGTCTGGTTGGGCTTTCTGATTGGGAAGATCCCAATCTCAGTCATGCATGGGCCTACTTCAGAGTTAAATCAGGTTGCTTAGGACTGTGTCCAGTGGTTTCAGATACCTCCAAGGACTAAGATTGTGCCTACCACTCTCTTTGTCCCTTTTCTGGCCTTTGACCTCCCTTACTGGAAAGGTTTTCCTTCCTTACATCCA